GCCAAGGATCTGGGAACACAGAGGCCTGAGAAGAATGGGTGATGTTTTAATAAAGCCCAGGGGGACAACAGGCATCCATCCAGGACTGGGGTTAGAGAGGCAGAACCAGAGCATGGGATGCTTTGGCTCCAGAGGCATGTAGCTCAGGTGAAAGACTTGTTTGATTTGCTTTCTTATTTTACTATGACTCAAGATTTTTGTAATGAGGAAGGAAAGTGTGTATGTGACGGTTCTCTAGAGGAACAGAACAGACAGAATGAATACATATTATAAAAGGCATTTATTAGACACAGGCTAGCATCCGACTGTGCTGGAGAACCCAGTAGCTGCTCAGCCCGTGACGCTGGAGGTCCAGCAGTCCTAACCTGTCTCTGAAGGCCTGGAGGAGTCCTAGAGAACATCTGTTGGAAGGACAAAGAAACTGACTTCTATGTCAGCCAAGGTTGGCAAGAGCGTCGGTAGAGGCAGCCACAGAGTCGATGCACTCACCAGCCAAAAGTGAAGGCAGGCAGGCCAAAATAGCAGCCTTTCCCTCACCTGCGTTTAGGTCTGGGTGGCCTCCTGAAGGTATCTGCCCTGGGAGAGGACCTACCTTCACGTTGTTAAACCTTCAAGGACATGTGCTCACAGACCACCCAGAGGCATGTTTCTCAGTTACAGCCACGTTGACAGTTGAGACTGGCCTTCACAGACGGGCAGAAGCCTCCTTCTGGCTTTGCCAGGTGTAGGCATCCCTCGTGCTGGATGCTCTGAGACACCCCCCCCCCCCCAGCCAGGCTTAGAGAGGCACTGGCTGTGGAACACAGGACTTCCGCCTGACAGGGATCGAAGTGAAGCTACACACAACCATCTTGAAACTTCAGGAAATGACTCTTGCTTAAATGATGCGAAATGCGTTTATGGAACATCTGCTCCTTGACGCACTTCAGGGAGGTGCGTGTGTGGCAGGAAGCATGCTGGAACCGCACAGGCAGTAATTGGGGCTGATGGAGTGCTGGAGCAGTGGAGAACGAGGCTGAGAGGGGCCATTTCCCAGCGCTGTGACTCAGCACTGGAGAAGTCAGCTGAGGGCCAAGGGCTGCTTCAGCTCATGGTTTCAGCTCATGACCCTGGTCTTTCTGGGGCCGGGTGAGGTAGAAAATTAGTGTGAGGTGTGTGATGGGAGACAGCCGTGTTCCTCCTTATGAAGGCCAGGAAGGAAGGAAAAGGACGGCAGGATAAGAAAGGGAAGGGAAGGGAAGGGAAAGTGACGGTCTAAGAACAGCCTCACTGACCCCTTTCTTCTCCTAGTGCTAACAGCCTTGGGGAACCCCAGAGGAAATCTTCCAGAGAGCTCCAAGAAAAAAAAAAAAATATTACTCACACCCCAGCAGGCCCTGGCTGCTCTTCCTTCACCCTTCCTCCTTCCTCCTTTCCTTTCCCCTCTTTTCTTTTTCTTTCAATACCCACTGACTTTGTCTCATTTTGTGTGTGTGTGTGTCCGTGTGTGTTTTGTATGTATGTGCATAATTTTACATGCACACAGAGGCCCAAGGTGGATGCTGTAAATGAGCCCACGTCTCTTTTCCACCTTACTCACTGAGGCAGGGCCTCTCAGTCAGACCCAGAGGCCACTAACAGGGCTGCCCTATGGCTCTGGGATCCCCTGTCTCTGCCTTCTGAGACTGGAATGCAGGCAAGCTGCCAAGCCTTGCGCTTCTGCGAGTGCTCAGAATCCAAACCAGTCCTCACGCTTGCACTGCAAACTGACAGCAGAGCCACCTGCCCAGCCCCACGTGGTCCATGTTGCTGCCGCACACAGACCAGCGCAAGATGGGGAGGTTTCAGGGGCTAAGCGCTGACTTGTATGCCTTGGTGGAGGGGTGCATTTTGTTTGGGTTTGTTTTCTTCTTTTAATTTTTTTCACAATTTAGTCTTCATATATCCTTATTGAAGCCCCTTCCTCAACTCCTCCCTCTCTCTTCCCCCGTCCCCTTTTGGTTAGATCATTGCATTGGTTTGGCACTTGGCCAAGATTGAGAGTCAGTCTCGGATCACAGTTGCATTTGTTAGATGAAACCCACCAGATAAGGCTACAACTACCATTGTGATGTGTTGCAGAATATGATCTTGTAGTATTTTCTTGACTGTGTTTTGAACTCGTATTCATGAGGGATGGTCATCCGTGGGTCTCTTTTCTTGTGTGTAATGTTATTTACTTCTGTATCTGGGTGTCTGGGTGATGACTGAGAATTGTTTAATCCTCCTGGTGTTCTCTGCATGAGGCATTCTCATCCTTGTTTCCCCACCTGAAGCTCCTGGAGAGTCGGCCTTTGGTGGTCTCAGTAGAACTGTCCCAGCCCAGCTGAACAGTGGCCTCTCCCTCCATCACCTCTCCCCCCTCCTCTCTATCCTCCTCTCTCTTCCCCTCCCCTCCACTCTCTTTCCCACCCCCTTTCCTTCTTCCCTCCTCCCTCTTCTCTTTCCATCTCCCCACTCAGCTCCGCTCCTCTTTCCTTCCCTCTCCTCCCACCTCCCCTGACTGTCTAATGAGCAGTCCCCTGTTTTCACTTGCGTTTCAGAATAGTGGCCACCAGACCTCCTCAGGCCTCCGTGAGCTAGCTAGAAGTCACAGTTCTATTGTTTTTCAGGCTTTGCTCTTCTCAGTAGCTCTGGTATCTGACATTCCCTCCAGCTTTCTACATCCCAGACACAGCTGTCCTTGGGACTATTCTTAATCCACAAGATTCACAGGCTACTGAAAGGGAAATTGGGCAGTTTCCTTGCGATATGTGGAAGGAAAGACTTGGGGAGGCCATGGTCATGGGTGACGGCAGATGGAAAGAGAACATGGACTGGAAGTCACCTGAGAGGCGTGATGGGTTCTAAGTTCTTCCATCTCCACGTGTGATGAGACAATGAGGAAGCTCATTGGGCATAAAGGTATTTTTGTTTGTTTGTCTAAGACAGGGTCTTATCTAACCCAGACTGCTGTGTAGCTGAGGATGACACTCCTGCCTCTTTGTCCCCAGCACTGACACTGAGGTCTGTGTCACCTCATCTGGCTTATGTGGTGCTAGAGATGGGAGCTAGGGCTTCGTGCACACTGGGCAGTGCTGTACCCACTGAGCCACACTGCCAGCTCTGGGCTGTCATTCTTAACAGGACCAGGTCACCACCCTGAGCTTTGTGGTGGGAGGTACATATATCTTTTTTTGTTTTTTAACCTGGCTCCTAAGGATCCTTACAGTTTCTGTGTTTCTCTGTGGAAACAAATTCCTAAAGAACCAGGGCTGTCCTTTCTGCCACGAGAGGATTGGCAAGCTGGATCATCCCTGACTCCAAGAACACTAGCCTTTCCCAGAAGGCTTCCTGTCTCCAGGGCCACCATGTGACATGTGTGTCCCTGCACAAGGGAGCCTTTCCACCTTCCCAGCCCACACCGCTTCACCACACCCCGCCCAGGCTCCTTTGTAAGTCCATGTGTCCCCTCTCCGGCCAGGGGTGTCATTCTTCAGACTCATCTTCCTCCCAGGGTCTGCCTTTCTTCCTAAAGTCACCCAAAAATGCTTCTAGAATATGTCACTCAGGTTTGCTGTCTTCCTGACAAAATGCATAATTACAAAAATCTGACAGAAACAATCCAGAGGTGCTGGAAAGACAGTGCCTCAGGAGCAGACACCTGCTGCCAAGCCTGACAGAGGCCACGTCAGAGAAGGAGAGACCTGACTCCCACAAGTTGTCCTCTGACCTCCCTATAATCACAGAGGCACTCAAAGGATTCCTCCCAAATAAATACATGTCATTCAGGCTGAGAAGTTACAGTTCACAGTCGGCTGGCACACTTGTTTCTGACTGCAGAGAGGCAGGGCATCATGGGAGAAGGGGGTGCTTACCTCACAGAGGCCGGGAAGCGGAGAGACCACGCCTGTAGCAACAGGTTCCCTTCTCCCCTTTTCATAGGCTCCTGGCCCTGGGCTGACGCTGCCCACAGCAGGCAGGCAGCCTCCCGTTAAGTAATCTCTGGGAACCCAGAAGTGCAGTCACAGACACACATGGGGTGGGCTTTACCACTCTCCTATTGTGCCTCAGCTTCTCAGTCCAGTCAAACGGGTAGTCCAGATCCACACACGTGCTCTGCCCTGCTCAGTGTTCCAGGTACCTCTGCCCAGAGCAAGCAACCTGTGGAGACTCAACAGCTGTTCAGTGAATGAAAGAAAGAAGCAACGGAGAGGCCAGAAGTAGTTTTCTCCTAAAACTATTTTCTTTTACTTTTTTGTTTGTTTGTTTGTTTGTTTTCGAGACAGGGTTTCTTTGTGTAGCCTTGACTTTCTTGGACTCATTTTGTAGATCAGGCTGACCTCGAACTCACAGAGATCTGCCTGCCTCTGTGTCCCTGAGTTCTAAGATTATAGGTGTGTGCCACCTCTCCCAGCTCAGTTTCTTATAAAATAAAATCCAGGTTCACATGCCTAGGGATGGCACCGCCCACAGTGGGCTGGGCCTTCCTACATCCGTCATCAATCAGGACAGTTCCCCACAGACCAATCTCACCTGGGCAGTTCTTCAGGTCAGTTTCTCTCCTCCCAAGTTGTGTCAAGTGAACCATTAAAAACTGACTGGAAATGGGGAGCTGAGCTTTTAAAACATGGCACGTGGAGGTCCATTCTAGATGGAACATTGCCTTCACAGTGATGACTCGAGGTGGCAACAGAGAAATGTTTATTTAGTGTCTTGTCCATCTCTGACTTGTGGGGAAGGCCCATCTGTGGGATGAGGCAGTGGTCTACTGCCACTCCTGCCTCTGCCTTAAGGAAACAACTCTCCCACAGGAAATGAGAAGTGGACCAATTCTCCTTCATCGTGACACAAGGGTTAGCCCGGGAGGCATCCACGTCCCTTCCCATGTGCACCCTGCTTGCTCTTGAGTTCTGAGTGGTGACTATGGTTTCTTTTGTGTCTCTTCTCCCCCTGGGGTCTCCTGCCGTCGCGGTGCTGCCTTCGCCTCCATCGGGGAGCAGTGCCCACAGCACCCCCACAGAACGTGCAGGCAGAGGCTGTGAACTCCACCACTGTGCACTTCCTGTGGAACCCCCCTCCCCAGCAGTTCATCAACGGCATCAACCAGGGATACAAGGTACCTTGTACAAGGCCTGCTCATCAGCAAGCTCCAAGTTCAGTGAGAGAGCGTGTCTCAGAACTGAGATGGAAAGTAACTGAGGAAGGCACGAGGCTCTGGCCTTCACATGTGTGGACGCCCATGGGCACACACACATGCACACCAGAATACGCATGTGTACACATTCATCACACACACACGCTCAAAGAACCCAAGGGGATCTGTGGGGGTGGGGGGGATGATTGGAGTCAGCCTGTGTCCAGCCACTTCTTCCCAGATCGGGATTCTCTGGGCAGATCCAGAATGGAGGGTAGGGAATCATGAAGGGAGACCATTGCCCAGCAAAGAGGCCATTTTTTCTCTGCTTTGGGGATAGCTCTGTTTAAAGAGTCGGGACCAGGAAGCCATCCCAGGGACCTGCCCAAACGTAATGAATCTTCTGCTGAGTATCACGGGCCTGGAGGCACATTCCAGAAGCACAGTTCCTGTCCTTCACATGAACTTCTCCTACCTGGACTTAGGAATCTGGCTTCATGTGCAAGAGCGGGCTCACTAACCCATTAGCAGGAGTCTCGGGGAGTCCCTTCAGAGAGGCGAGAATCACTGGTGCCTTTGTCTTCAAACAGTTGGCATTCTTGGCACTTGGTTCATTTTTCTTTTCCATTTAAGTTCAGCTCCCTCAGACACTTGTTTGTCTGCGATGAGGGCAGCCCAGCTGCGAACGTACTGTGCCTCTGCTTCTTCCTCGGAGGTATCTGAAGGCGGATGCCGTTTTGAAGGGAAATTGTACTGATCAACCCGAAACTCCAACCCTCCTGACTCCCCTGCCAGGCCTGAGTGGCGAGGACGCTGCTCACTTCTGACGGCTTGTCAGTTTGATCTGCACAGATGAGCTCTGTCCTGATGCCTGCTGGCGTTCAGAAGGAATCAGCCCTGGAGTTGCATGGTGTCAGGAGACTAAACTCACACACGTATCGAGCATGGCCAAAGCTGGAAAGCAGCTTTTCCTGGAACAGGCACTTGTACACACACACTCACACACACACACCCTCACACACACACACACTCACACACATACTAATTCTACTAATTAGTAGAATTAACAGATGATGCCATCTTTGCCTGTAACTCTTAAAAAAAAATCATGTTCAGTAAAAGAAGATGGAGGTTTAAAGGAGTGTCCATTACTATTACAAGAGTTAAGCAGCCATTTTATTCATATATGTAAATACATATCTATGAATGTACAAAAATATATAGGACTCAGCTTTTTTTGAAGTGAGATTATAAGATTTAATAGGCTTTATAGCCAGGCCTTACTGTCTCAGATACTTGAGAAGCTAAGGCAGGGTAACCACAAGTTTAAGTCCGGCCTAGGAAAATTAATGAAACCCTGTCTCGAGATTTAAAAATGTAAAAAGTGGTCAGGGATATAGGTCAGTGGTAGAGCCCCTGCCTAGAATCCTCCAGTGAGAGGCTGGGGTGTGGCTCAGTGGTAGAGTACCTGCCTAGAATTCCCCAGTGAGGGGCTGGGGTATGGCTCAGTGGTAGAGCTCCTGCCTAGAATTCCCCAGTGAGGGGCTGGGGGTATGGATTAGAAGTAGAATGCTTGTATAACGTGTAAAGAAAGCTCTGAGTTTTATCCAAATATGAAAAAAAGAAAAAATGTAGGATTCATAGACTTGTTGAATTGTAACTGTGCTTTCTTTAAAGACATGATAATTGTAAAATAAAATTCTGATAGACAGTTGAGTAGAGAAATTCAGCTTAAAGGAGTCTTTTTTTTTTAACCCTTTCCACCAGCTTCTGGCATGGCCAGCAGATGCTCCTGAGACTGTCACTGTGGTCACCATCGCTCCTGACTTCCATGGGATCCACCACGGGTACATAACGAACTTGAAGAAGTTCACAGGCTACTTCACATCGGCTCTGTGCTTTACCACCCCGGGAGACGGGCCTCCCAGTACACCTCAGCTTGTGTGGACCCACGAAGACAGTGAGTGGCCCTCTCCTCGTGTTTGAGCCCCCGGTCACAGTGCCCCGTAGCTCAGGGCACTCACAGAGGGGTCGTCCCCAGCCGGTGTGTCCCTGAATGGCAAAATGGCAGGCGACCCTTGGAATGTGGAAGGGGCCCTGTGCAAAGGAGGGGGCCCCGCGGGGCAACGGCAGAGGGTGTACTCCTACTGTGCTCCGTCTTGCTGAGCTGGGCTGCCATTCAGACCTTTAATTCTAACCCCCCAGTTTTCTGCTTGGTGGCCGGCCTCCCCACCCACTGTCCCTTTCATCCCTGCCCTTGACTGGCTTGGCCCAGCTCCCCAGCCCCGCCTCTGCTCTCAGGCAACTGATGTGACAAGGACTCTGTCAGGTGAAGGTACCGAAGGAGGAATTGTAGGCCCACAGGACCATAGGCAAGGCAACACCTAGCTGGGCACAGTGGCCTGCACTTACCCCAGCACCAGGAGGACAGGCAGGACTGTGCCTCTGAGGGCTACAGAGCAAAACATTTTCTAAAAAACACAACAAACAAAAGCAATGAAAAGCAGTAGATGTCCCAAATGGGGACAGTTAGGGGAGGAATGAAATGGTCATACAACAAAAACAGTTATTTTAAAAGAAAACCCAAACTTTGGAGCTCAAAAGACTAGAGGGAAAATTGTCATAATATAATGTCAAGTGAAAACATATTCAACAAAATTACTTGAGGTCCATGTTTGTTTTAGCGTAATACATTTAGATATTACTTTGAGACTTGCTGTCTCTAAATGGTGCATGTGTGTGTGTGTGTGTGTGTGTGTGTGTGTGTGAGTCCAGCATCTTCCTCCATCACTTTATCGTAATTTTTGAAACAGATTCTCTTAGTGAACATGGGGCTCCCACCAGGCTAGGCTGGCTGTGAGGCCCTAGGACCCCCCTGAACTGATAAATGTACTACAGGACACCCAGCTTTTTAAAAGTCGTTCTGAGGCTAGACTCAGGGCCTGGGGTTAAAGTGTCCAGGCAAGTGGGAGGGTCCAAGTAGGGATCCCCAGAGCCCACAGGAGTGAGGGAAGGGGCTTGCTGTGACTCCAGCCTCAGGACAGAGACTGGCTTGATCCCAGGTCAAGCCACCTAGGAAGACTAGCCACACGGGCAAGCTCTGGGTCTGACTGCGAGGCCTGCCTCAGCGGATAGGTTAGAAGAGCATTAAGAATGATTCCCAGCATCAGCCCCTGGTCTCTACATGCATGCGCTCGTGCACACACACACACACACACACACACACACTCTTACATACTCACTAACACACATGCGCTCACATACATACTCATACATACACACTCATGCAAACATTCATACACACACACACATTCACACCTGTGCATGTGTATGGTGGCCCCACACATGCAAACAGGCAGGCAGACACGCATGCAGCCACACACATACGTGAAATTGGAAAACTGAAACAAGAATATAACAAATGACAAAGGGCTCAGATCCTCCCTGAAGCTTCTCCCCTGAGCCTGCCCGTCCTTGGTAGTAGACGGGGCTTATGTGTCCTGTTTAGAAGGATGGAGCACCCACCTCATGAGGGTGTCGAGGGTGGGGTTGCAGCTGTTTCTGGGGGTGCAGCTTCACTCGCTGAGGGCCTTCTGTAGAGCCCCGGGAAAGGGGACCAGGCTGAGGGAGGGTCGCAGGACTGAGAAAAAGAGCATAAATTGAAACCTAGACATTAGCAGACTTAGAGGACAGTACGGCTGGGCAAAGATCCAGGAGGCAGAAACACTGTGAGTATAAAAGGAGCAGAAAGTCTTCTCAGCTAGCACATCGATCGAAAAAGAACAAGGCGCTTCAAAAACTCGTCAGCATGTCTTTCTGGAAGCTTGTTTTCAGGGCGGGGCGGGGGGGAGGATGACCCTGTTCTGACAGCCATCCCATTTCACCACCTTCCTCGAGAGAAGTGGCGTTTGTCAGTGTTTCAGGCCCTCCATGAAGGCTTCACTGATCTCAGCCCCATGAGCACGGCTTCCGAGGCTGTACCTGTTTTAAAATTCATAAATTGTGTTGGGGCTGTGTCGCGGTTCCAGGAGGGAGCGAGTTACCGCCTGCTGCTTGTGTAGCAGGGCTGATAGGAGCCAGAAAAGTGCCTGTGACCTCCTCTTCTGCAGGCCAAACAAGACCCCTGACCTCACACAGGAGCCCTCAGGGAGACTGTCCTAGGAGTTTGCAAGGGAGCCCAAGGCACTGGACCTTGAGTGGGAAGACACTGTCCCCCTGGCCAGAACAGATCCTCAGCTGAGGCACTATAGTGTCTTCTCCAAACACCTCCTGTCTTAGGCAGGATGTGGTGCTGCAGGCCTTTTGCTGGCATGTTCTCTTCCTCCCAAAAAATCTCTTGGGTGGGAAGTGTTCAGAAGTTAGACTTCTGGGTCAGGTAAGCTGGCACTGCCCTTGGCCCTCGACTCCATTTCTGGCTCCCCAACAGAATCCATGGTGCCATAAAAGCCAGACTCCTGGCTCCTCTCATTGGAAAATTCTAAAGCGGCGGGGGGGGGGGGGATTCTAGGCAGGAGCTCTACCACACCCCAGCCCCTCACTGGGGAATTCTAGGCAGGAGCTCTACCACTGAGCCACACCCCAGCCCCTCACTGGGGGATTCTAGGCAGGTGCTCTACCACACCCCAGCCCCTCACTGGGGGATTCTAGGCAGGGGCTCTACCACTGAGC